TGATGAACTGCGTGTGACCTGGGAGATGTAAGACAAATAAATCCTTTCCTTCCCAAGTTGGTACTGTTCAGAGTGTTTTGTCACAGCAATGAAGAACAAACTAAGACAACATGTCTGAGACATATTCTCGATTGTTAAGTTATGTGGTGGGTGGCAGCACACCTGGGCAGGTGGTCCTGAGTTATATAAGAAAGCTTGGCTAAGCACAGGCCAGAGGAGCAAGCCAGAAAACATCATTCCTCCATGGTCTGTGTTTCAGTTTCTACCTCCAGGTTCCAGCTGTGAGTTCCTGTCTGACCTCCCTCAAAGATAGGCTGTGCCTTAGAAGTATAAGATGAAATAAACCCTTTCCTCCTCAAGTTGGTTTTGGTCTATGTTTTATCAAATGGAAAGAAAACAGAACAGTGAACATGATTCAAAATTTTCTGATTAATGCTAGTATTAATCCACTGATCTTGGTTTTTATGTATCTAGGTATTCTATTATATGTAAATATTTATTAGTGTATAGAAACACAGATGAATGGAAGTGGAAATTGCTTAATCCCCCAGTACACCATTCCATATAGGTTTATGTCATATTATCCTAAAAAATATCTTACCTCATTAACAAAATCACTTCTAGCTCCTCTATCTCTTAGGTGTTTGTCTTTCTCACCATGGAACTTCTATAATCTTTTAAATTGCAGACTAGGCTTTACAAGCTCGGCAACTTCAGCACTATGTTATCTGGAGTGGAATCTATTGTGGGAACATGCTCTGTGCATTGTAGACTGCTAAACTATATCTCTGACTTCTACCCACTAATGTCAGTAGCAGGCATTTCCTCCATGTGACAGTCAAAAAGATTTCAATCATTGATACATGTTGCAGAGGGGCAAAATAGCCCTCATTTGGGACAACTAGTGTTATGACTTGCATACGTTTTCCCCAAATACGTATTTGAAATGGTACAACACTATAAGGAGGTAAGGCCTAAAGGACAGAATTTAGTTAGTGATAACTCCCCTCATGAATAGATCAATGTTATTATTGTAGGAATGGCCTTTGGCTCCATGTTCTTGGACTCAAATAAATTTCTTTCATGATAAATATCCATTTGTTGATATTTAGTTATAACAGTATATAGATGGCTGGCCTATGTCAAGTACCTTAGTTTTAAATCTGCTTCCATGTAATTCTCTGCCTGTCATAACTGCTCTTATTTTCACAGTAAGATAGTAAATCTCTAAGATGGAAGCTAGTTTTGCTATATGACTTCTGTTGTCAAAAATATGAAGGGCAAAAGGCAAAATAAGTCAGTCATCCAACATCCAACCTTGTGGTTGAATGTGTCTCAGTACATGTCACTTCATCAGTTCAATCCATATGTATTTACTGAATCATTATTTCACAATGCCAAATAAGTTAAGACTCTAGTGCTTCTGTCTCACATACTCTTGAGGAACTCAACTTCTCAGGGTCTCATTTTCTCTATGTCCATAAAATAATGTAATAATATCACTTAATTATAAGAGCAAATGGGATGAAATATGAAAAATATGAGAATGGATATGGCACATGCAAACATCTGCCCAGGGACTGTAGCAAGTGCACTATGTTTGCATGTCAGGACTGGTTTTAGGCTCTCAGGGATCAGCAATAGATAAGTAGCCTCGTTCTTGTGGAGCTATGTCCTTATGTACTCTCCAGAATCCTCAGAAAAACTTCCTACAATTCAAGTGGCCCTCTTTCACAGGTCAGGGAAATGCAGCTCAGTGAGAAGATGCAATCAGTGAAGGTCATACAACTATCAGGTCCAAGAGTCAGAATTTGGACCCAGGTTTCCCTGGTTTTGACAACAAAACCATTCTGAATTCTTAATAGGTTGTCAATATACCTGCAGAAGACTAAAGAAGATATTGGCCTTCCTTTCCTTGTATTCTCCATCCCTCCTTTTTTTTTCTTAGCTTTCACTTTTTTAAAGTTATTTGAGTGAATTTAGTTTCATATTGGGATAAAAAGTTGGAGACGTTTATTTTGTTCTTGGTTGTCTGACATCACTGCTGATGAACCAATACTATTCTAAAGATACATAGAATTTCATTGAAAATGAAATGTCCACAGTGATTCATCTTTGCAGCAAATGGGTAATGTGTACTTTGGCCTTTAAAAATAGAGATGAGTCAAGGAAATCATATGTTTCTTATTTAAAAAAATCTTCTCAGAGTTTTAGGTGCCTGTCCACCCTTTACCATCATATTAAACACGATGACCATAATTGGGGTACACATCCAAACAGAACCTAAAATAGCTCACTTCTTTCCACTTATAGCATTTGGAAATACTATTTATCAAAATAATAATTTCAGCTATTTCTAGTCAAATTCCATACTGGTTCAGGGACTCTCCACTCTGTCAGTACTCATTATTCTGAACTTATCACCACATGTACTATGAACTCTGTAACATTCTCTCTCTCTCTCTCCCTCTCCCTCTCCCTCCCTCTCCCTCTCCCTCTTCCTTTCTCTCTCTCCATAGATAATGAGGCATTAGGATCATAGACACGGGCTGCCTCGTTCTAAATGACTCTTCTGTTATTATTGTCCCATGCCCCACCCATGTGGGTTTCCATGTGCTACTTCACAGTGGGTGTGGATGAAGAGGGTAGCCAGGCTGGTTGGCTACCATCTGTGTTTGTAGTTTTTAAGTCAGCTTCCTGCTTCCGTGGTAAGGCCAGCCCATCATCTGGCACCAGCTCCGTGTCCTTGGCTCACCTTGATGGCAAAGAGTGTTTATTTTCAGGTTAATTGAAAATAGTTTCCTGTATTTTAATGAAAGCTCATCAAACTACATCCTGATAGAATATACTGTGTAAGAAAATGTTTTCTCTTTTTAAGAGAAGTTTTATTTCCAGGAAAAAAACCTTAAGTATTTATTTTTAAAAATGCTTTCTCTGTGGTTTGCAGTTAAATTCTGTTTGAAAAGAAAAAGACTCTGCATATCTTCCTCAACAAAAACCATATTCTAAAGATGAAAGAGAAGAGGAGACAGAAAAAGAGTGGACGTAAGAATACTATAAGTGAAGTGACAGAAAAAAAAGGAAATTTATAATTGCACTTCTGGTGGGTTTTTAATTTCTTTCTGGGACTGATCCTTCCACATACAGGGAACTCTGAAATGCCATCTTGAGTCTATGTGAAGTCCTTTGTCCTTTGTCCTTATGAAGACTATCAGGATTTGAAAGTCTGCTTTCAGGTGAAGGATGCAAATATTCCAAGGGAGGTCTCCAAAATTCATCTCTCTCTTCTGTCTCAGGATCAACGACAGGTATCAGAGTGGGTAAGTCTCATGGTGGGTCGTATGGACCCCCACATGGTTCTGCAGATCAAGAGTTATACCTTGATCACTACATGATATAAATTCTTTAAGGTAGGCCATCCACTGCCGTAACTGTTTGGAGAACATTAACAGTATTTTTCCTATTCTGCATCACATGGAAAAAACGATTTTATCTCTGCTTGTACCTTGCCAAATCTCTGTATGTATTTGGCATATTTAAATATGTTTACTATCATTTAACAATATGAACAATTGTCAGTTTCTTGCTACTACTATTAATACTACTACTCGCGCACACACACACACACACACACACACACACACACACACACACTCACAGACACTCCTCAGCACTGCATAAACTGGGTGTATGGTACATGCCTATAATGCTAGCATTCTCGATGTAGAGGCTTGGGAATTAGAAATAAAAGGTTGTCCTTGGCTACATAGCAAGCCTAAGATCATCTTGGATTACCTGAGACCCTGACTCAAAACAAACAAACAAACAAACAAATAGATTAAGAAAACCCAAAGTTCAGGTGATGAAGAGTTCTATAGGAAACACACTAAGTTTTAAGGGTGTAGAGTCACCATAGGGTTGGTTTATAGGTTAATATAACCAGGCTCTGTTTCAGAGGAAATGAGTAACTTACAGGAAGAGAAGCCAGACATTGGCTATGAACAAGACACTCATCAGGGAGAAAGTTTCATTATCTGAAACGTATCCTCTGTTGACCTTGACTTTGCTATGTGGTTTCCTATCACTCTGTCTTTCATGAGTCTTTCTCCTGTGATCTTTTCTTGCCCTGCAGATCCAGGTGAAATTCTGTTTCTTCTCCAGTGTTTCCCTCGTAGTTCTCATGCTCCCCTTTTCTGAACCGTGACTACATTTTATCATTTGGCAATTATGATGCTTTTCCTCTGGGTTTTTGTGTTCTTGACATCTTAGCCTGGACTGGAAGGACAATGGGTTACTGCCCTTTCACTGTATGTAAAGAATGCAAGTGTTCACACTCAAAACATGTTTCAGGCTCTAAAGAATTAGGGCAAAGAGGTCACTTATATTCCATAGAAAGGATGAGAATATAAATCCTCACTAGTGACTTCCTTAAGATTATTATGCCTATCATGAGTTGATGCAGACATTGTAGTTATGAACTTTATATTATGAAGCTATTTTAGCAAATACTTAAGTTAATAGTCAATACTCACCAGGCCTTTCATCATTCCATTCCTCTCTTCTTTCTCATCATTCTAATAATATTCTTTGGTATAATAAATTATTACAGTCCACCAAGAAGTGAATGTAGATTATTGATGGATTAATGCCCATTTTCTTTTTTTATTGTCTTAGATTTCTGCTGTGGTCACCAAGATGTGAACACATAAGAGTCCAGGTTAAGGCTATGGGTGGCTGTGACAGCCATTGCAGTTACTTTTGCCCGCATATTTGCATATGTAAGTATAGAACTTGCAACTTGAAGCTTCAAATTTAATACCCTCTATACAAATGAAGTAACAAGTTTAATGTATTTCTTAATTCTCTGGGTTGTCAACATGGTCTTGTGTTCATCAATGGTTAAACTGAAAGAATACTCCCTTTAATAATTGCTAAAGCACTGATGATATTTTCTACTTTAAAATAGACCAAGTTCAACTCCTCCACACACCAAATGTGTTTTTGAGAACCCAAGAAAGAATAAAGTGCTAAATATAGCTACTGAATGCCAAACTATCAATTAGCCATAGCATTCGGGACCCTCTCTCCACTGCTGGGTTAAATATTCTTTGACACTCCTTTTCAAAAGTAATATTGGTAACCTCGGGTTGAAAAGGAAAGGAAGAGAACTTAAAACTAAACATCCTCGTGGAGTTCACATACCTAGGATAGCTCAGTGGACATTAGGCCTTATCAGCAAGAGTTATTTATGATGTTTGCAAAAGTGATGTTAAAAATAAGTTTAGCTTTAAAAATAGAAATATAAATGAAGAGGGCAGAAAAAAACTCTCCATTGCATCAGTATATTAACATTTTTATAAGTTCCCTCCCTCTGCTTTTTCTTTCTTTTCCTTTTGACATCCTGGTCTCTTTGAAAATTCTCTCTTCTTTACTTAGGGGGAAACTATACCTACTAACAGCCTGGAGGAGTTAGGCAATGTACTTTGCATAGCTCCCCATGGCCTCAGGTAACAATGTAAATGAACCTTATTAGACAATGTTTTTTTACTGTACATAGGAGAGAATTATTTTTAAATGATTTTTTTTTCTTTTGGATTCAATATAATGACTCTCCTTGAACGAGGAGGAGACACATGAGAAGGAATTAGGGCATGTTGCAATCTGGCTGTTTGAGTCAGATGTAAAAGGGAAAAAAATTGGCATTTCTGAGGTGGAAAAAGCTGGGTCTTCCTCCTTAGAAATCACAAAAATAACTGCTGAAAACCTTTAAACTTTCCAAGAGAAACTTCTTTAAAAGTTATGTGTAACTAAAAATAGGAGGATTGTAATGGAAGTTAGTGTGCGTGTGTGTGAAATCCCGGAGCAGCAGAGGAGGCCTGGGCTGAAGACTCGGGGTTTGTGATTTTAAATCTCTCTGCAAACATAAATCTGGGGGCCAGAAGAGCATTTAACCCCAAATGGTCACCTGAGTTTCTTACCTGCACAATGGAGCTCTTACAGAAGGCTCAATAAAATGAACTTTAGGGTTATCATTTGGCTTCAAACAAAAATCCCACCAGCCCTACAAGGGAGTAATGACAATCGTCTTGAAAGACTGTAGAAAGCTTGGCTCATGACTGTGGTGGCTTTGATCAGTGTAATGCAATCCTGAAGTGGTGGGGACCTCGTCTTTGGGAGCATTTGTGTCTAGACCCAAGATCTTAATTGTGGTCAGAATTTGAGAAAACCCCTAACCCATCATGGCTGCAGGGATTGGGGGAAGGTCCAAAGGGAATAGCCAAACTCACTCCACCACAACAAAGCATATGTGAGAAATGCTCCCAAGTATTCTGGTGCCTGGGGCTGACAGGGAAGACAGGCAGGATCAGGGCATGCATTTGAAGCATTTGAGGTTCTCTTTGGGGGTGATTCAATACCTTTTGGAACTACATGGAAGTGCAGGTTACACAATACTATAAATAAACTAAAAGCCACTCAATTGTCTACTTTAAAATCGTTATTTTATGTTATGAATTTTACCACAATAGAAGAAAATATATTCACTATTCAAGTTAGGAAGAGCTTCCTCATTCCAGCAATCTTTGTTAGTAGGTATATATGGGACTTCTAATGGTCTGTGGATAGGATATCTGCAATTCACACTGTCACTTTTTAAAGGCGTTTACTGCCTTGTTTACCAAAGATGCATAGCTGAAATAGAGGAGTCAGACATGCATTGAGGAGTTGGCATTATTTTTTAAAAGCTTTGCTTCTGTTTTCACAAACCAATATAACAATTGTTTTCTAATTGATTTTACTTTGTATAAAAAGGATTTAGGATTGAGAGAGCAAATGTGCGGGGGAGTTACTGCATGACTGCATAGAGCTAGCCTGAGCTTTGCTTTTTGTGCTTTCAGGACACACAGCCCTTCTAAGGCATCTTGACTCATACACATTTCAAAAAACACTCAATCAAAAGGAATGTGGACTCAGGAAGAATTTAGTGTCACTGTAGATTGATAAAAGAGTTCTGTCGGCTTGCCCTATATACCACAGCACAACCACTTCATCTTGTATCGCCCTTCTGTGGGGTGCCTTGGCCTTTCAGGATTTTTTGGATCCCTCATTTCTTGAGCCTAAAGTCACATCACTAATCTCCTCCTAGAACCTATCTCTTTATTATTTTGTTGTCCTGTATACTTAGGTGAACACATTCTGGATGTGAAATGTCACTCCAGGTCAGGACCAGCCAAGGAACCAATTTCTGCAGATTTATCATTCCTATCTAATCTAATGATGAGGCTCACACCCAGGATACTCCCAGTTACTGGGTCTCTCCAGGCGGAGTCCAGACTCTTGGGTGCCAGATGATTAAGCCTTGCTTCTAGCAGGGGTTGGAAGCAGCTGCTCCCATATCAAACTTCTTCTGCTCTCAGCCGATTGCAGCAGAATCTATACCCAGCTGCGACGTGCGCTGCCCACTGGCAGCTCTCATCTCCACTGAAAACCTTTCATCTAGCTTTTCTATAAACTTTTCTTAATATCTGCTTGTTAAACCTGACAGAATGGCCTTAGAACAAAGCTAACCTGGCTACCAAAGTGCTAGCAGCATCATCTGTCAGGCCGTTTTGTTTCTCCCTTTGATAAAGTTTTGCCTGGCTATTATTGTGGAAGGTTGGGTGGACGGTTCTGAGAACTCGGAGCAGAAGGCATCTATGTGGTTGCAGAAAGTTCAAAGGGTGATTTGGTCCTGGGGTATAGCCAGGGTCCAGTCATGAATTTCTTCCTCCAAATTGTTCTCACTGAATAGCAAATCACACCTTCCTATTACCCCTTATATAAGTACTGAAAAAAACCTTTTAAAATGCAACTTTTAAACTTAGTTTAAAATTCTAGAAGCAAGATTTAGGTAGCTGCAGTAAATGGCCACAAGGGCAAGTTGTATTTTAGTGGTCTTAGAGAAAATGAACATTAAAATGAAGATGAGATGTTAGAGCTTATATAAAGGAGAGAGCAACTTTTTTGTGATATACCATCAAGTGTTACTTCCCTTTTTGAAAACCAGCTAGTGTGTGAATTGACAGGATCAGAGATCAGAGTGCTGCAAGAGAGGCGGAAGGGTAAAAGCTTGGCAAATTCCTATTACTCTGAAGAACCCATCCAGTCTTCAGGTTGGCAAAGAACCTTTTTGTAAGATGAGGACAAAGTAACTTAGGCTAACTGCAACTCCAGTGCTGTTTCTTGAGGAATGCCAACTGGCTTTCCACCTGTGTTGCTTGTGTAGGCCCAAGGAAGGCTGGAGAACAGCCATGGGAGCTACTTCTAGAGCATAGGAAACATATCCCTTGTCATGCAACTTGAAAGACCCATTAACAAGGTAGAGGAGAGGGATTGTAAACACAGGGTCTTTCTGGAGGACAGCCTCCACAATCAATGCCGTTTGCCAGATTTCACCTTAAATCTTTGGGAGCAGCTGCCTTCTTACTCCCTAGTCCCAAGACAAAACGAAATGACAATTTTTAATAGCGACATCATTAGTACAGGCCTACCTTTCTTTATACCTGAATTTTCCAAAGATATTTATTTTAACCTACATGAAGTCAGGAGCTAGATTTGACATAGTCTTTGACACTATCTCTGCCTTATCATTTAGAACCTACTAGTCAAGAGCACAGTGAAATCTCTGTGAATGTTGTTACTGCTTCACACCTGGCAGAGGGCAGCAAATGAAGCAGAAATCTCAGAGCTCTATTTTTATCTCAAGTGTTTCTTAATACATGATACACAGTTGCAAAGAAGCAAAAGACAGTAACACAAGAACTGTGGGTTATCGTGCTAAGAACAATGCTAAGGCATAATATTAGTTAAACTCAGTTAACGTCAGTTTCAAGTTCAAGAACAAACAGATGAGATGCCTGGTTCTCTGCTCCCCCACACCCAAATTTCCTCCTCCGAAGTTAAACCAGAGAGAGAATTCCCATCTCCAGACTTTTTCTCCTTATAAGGCTTGGTTTCTGCCATTAAGAAGTCTGCCTAGAGATTGGAAGACTTCAAGCACTAAATTATGTCTCCTACTCTCTGCTCACTGGCAGCAACTGTGCCAAAGTCCAAAAGGGGAATTGGGTAGGTGTGTCCTAACAGGAGACAGTGTTCCGACTCTAATTGCCATAAAAGCTTTGAAGCCATTGTCTGGTGGATCTAAGAAGATTGATCTTGAAGGTGTGAGCTCAGAGCTGCTAGTCAGGAGCTCAGAGCTGTAATTCTTAGATTGGCAATGACTCACTGAGGCTGGAGGCAAACCCACTCATCTTTTCTGTGCTCCAATTTATTCATTTGCAAAACCTACAGAAATTAACACACAATGTCCTGACAGGGATATTTTATGTGTTGGGTATTAATACTCATGGCTGGTCAGTTGATGGAAAGCACCCCACAAGTCCTACAGCTCCACTTGTTGGAGCTTCTCTGAGTCTTAGGTTAGATTTGTTCTTGTTTCACGTCTGGGCTTCCTTCCTTGGAGGTCTTTAAATCCACAGTAAGGAAATTCTGATTCCCTTGACGTTTTGATCTAATCTTGGCAAACACAGATGATTTTCTTTAGGACTGTGTCACATGGTGGTTTTGCAAAAGAGATCTTCTCACCTACCGCAAAGACCCCCCCCCCCGCGACTCCCTGCCACCCTATAGAACCAGATGCCATGCACCATGAGAACTAATTTTTAGCTTCTGTGATGGGACACGTTGCCTCTGAACCCATCTGGATAAAACCTTCCTTGTGGTCTTTGGTCTTGGCAGAGAT